TCGAAGAAGAGGCACGTTCGTGTGTGTCAAAGCAAAAGCTGATCCAAAGGATGAAGCAACGAAAGCACACAAGTAAAAAAAAGTGACATGGGATGAAGAGAAAATTCAACACGGGTAGAAGTCGGGGACATGAGATGAAGCAAAAAGAGACATGAGATGGGGAGTGCAAGTGGCACATTGGCATGTGTATCCGTCTAGCAAACCGCGTAACACTAGCTCTCCAAGACTCCAAGCTGTGTGAGATAAAATAGCAAGTAGTGCCCTTACCAAACAATTCGTATGGCTATGTGGTAATAACATGTGTATAATGTAACTCTACTTTTAGCTATAAATAGTGAGGCTAGGGTTTTATTCAAAGGAATCTCATTTTGACGACCACCTTAGATAGGAAATTCTCTCTTATAATCGGCCATGAGTCACTAAGAATCTATCTTAGTTGAAGGAAAGTTAAAGCTTTTGGTAAAATCAATATGAGATCTTAACGGATTTTAATTCTAAATTTATTCTTTTTGAGTATTTTTTGTTTTTCGGTGTTATTTAAATATAATTATGTGATTAATTTATTAAAGTGTATTCTATTTACTTGATCATTATAATCTATTTCTAACTAAGCATTCAAGTCTATGTAATTAATTGTCTAAACTTGTATGTGAAAGTAACTAGGGGTTAAATATTTTAAATGCATATTCGTTTAATTTCTTGTAAAACATAAAACTAGATTCAATTTTTTTAGCGTTTAGAAGGGTTATTTAGCTTCACCTTTCTTTTTCTAATTTAATACGGTTATTGAATTAAATCTATCTAGCATCTACTAGGTTGTTCAATAGTTATGGATTAATCAAATAGATTCTATTTGATTAATGAATTATTAAAAAAAAATTGAAAAAAAAAACATACATGTTGTTGTCCTACGATGAATATTCATGTTAAGAATATATTAATGTTTGAATCAATGATCGGCGATTAAATTAAAAGTGGATACCAATCTTTAACCAAGGTTTTCCTCATTATTGTTATTTCTCTTTACTTTTGATTACTTTGTAAATCTCTATAAACACAAAACCATCCTTTTACTTCCATTGCACTTCGAACAATCAGCGAGATAGAAATAATTAATTAGACCACTTCTCTTTGAGTTTAACCCTTACTCGCCTTATCTACACTTTCGTGGTTGGGTTCCGCAATGAATATAAATACAATTAATTTGTTGGCGGTATGACACACCATCACTTTTAAAGAGAGGAAAAGAAAAAAAAAAAGAACAACAAGATTCCTCTTTTAGGGAATTCCTTAAAAAATTCAATGGCTTCATAAATTACAAACAATCCGAAACACATTATTCCTAAAGGATGCTTTTCTAACAAGGATAACGGGACATTGATGACCCCAAAATTAACAAGGACAACAATACATTAAGAAAATAATTAAAAACTAGTATAAAATTCAATAAGGTTTATTGATGTCACTTTACAACATAACAAAATCTACCTTTATAATTGAAATGCTTACTTGATTTTCTTTTAACTAGAAGCTTATTGACGATGATAGGATAGAAAAACCGATATTGGAGAAGGTCTCCTCTGTTTTGGTAATGAGGACGGTAAAGATCATTTCTCAATCGGTTTATATAATTAGGGTTAGAAGAATATACAAGGGCGAGTTTTAAAATTTTTTCAATTGAGCATGTTAATAAAAAATGTTTTAAGTTAAAAATTTTAACTTACCTAATTAAGTAGATTTTGACTAAATTTAAAATTTAAATATGAAATTATTTAGATTATCAAATAATTTTTTATATTAAATGTTATAATTTATTTTTTTAAGTTATTTAAATAGATTATTAAATACATTTTAGCTCTATTATGATTGTACTTCTATTTAATTCTATTGCTGTATGATTAAGTTTTTGAATATTGTGTCTTTTAGTCATATCATTTGTAAAGGCCATTTAGTAGCAGATCTTCATTCTTTAATTAAAGGTCGTCTAAAAGTAGATAAATAGAATGGCACGTTTTTTATTACATAAATCGTGGGCCAATTTAAACATCTTTCGTTTTCTTACCCAACAGCAGTCTGGAAAAAGGAGAGGAAAAAAAAAAGGAAAGTAGATGTAGTATCTTTCATGGATTCTGTGCTTTAGCTTTTACGTAAGTGGATCCGACACGTATTCTTTGTCTTTGTCTCTTGTTTTTGTCGGCATGGATTCATAATTTCCTCAATGGGAATGTGTAGAGAAAGTACAATAAATTAGGTAACAATTGACTAGCAGTATACTATATACTATGAAATATTTTGAACAAATATATTAAATACATATATTTTAAAAAAATAATCTTCCCATCAGCTTTAAATAAAAAAAATTATGTTTTAATTTTTATACAAATTTATATATTAATCATTATTTTATTTTATCGATTCAATCTTATAAAAAAATATTAAGATATTTTTAAAATTCAAAATTTATATTTTTACAAATTTTATTTAAAAATAAATACATAATAAAGATAAATCATGTTTTTTAATCATAAAATTTATGAAAAACATAAAAAATATTAAACTAAATACAAAATTTTGACTAAAAATTATAAAATTAGATGAATATTTTTTTATTTTAATTTATGTATTTTAGTTGATGAATAATATAATATATATTATCAAAATAAAATAAATATATTTTATTCAATTCACAATGTAACGTCAGCAATTAACTAATGTCAGCTAAATCAAAACAGGAAAAAAAAATCAAAATTTTGCATACAAGCACCTCACTTTTCATAGTTTTGTCCTTCAATTCTCTCTCTCTCTCTCTCTCTCTCTTTTTTAATTTAGTTCTTTTTCTATCTATCTTTTTCCTAATCAATATTTTTTTCTAAATTTGTTTCTTTATGGGTTATGCTAAGACAACTCCTGGGCTGTACCTTAACCATATACCCAATATTAACTAATTTATTCTCAATAACGAGAAACCATGCATAATATGATTTGGCAACATCACAGACGACCACCAAAGTAATGACTAATATTTGGTAAAAATTAAAATAGAAAACTAGCTAGTTACTAATGCAATCCAAGTCAAGGGAAGAGCTTCACTACAAAAATAATTTTTATTGCAGTCACTTTTACAATTCAAATTCTAAATAATGATATAAGAAAGATATATCTACTAATCACTACGTATAAAGTTATTTAATGTAAATTATGTTATTAATATAGTATTTTTCTTAACTTTATATTCATGTATATAATATTATTTGAAAAGATTATTACTATCCTTTGAAGAAAAAGAAGAAGAAGAAAGAGATAAAGAATATTACTATAATTATATCTGAAGGAACCCAATATTTAACTGGATCGATCTATCAAATTTATTTAAAAATAATAATAATAATTTTTTTTGAAATTATTGCATTAATTAAAAGCTATATCACTAATAAGATATATATACATCAAAAGCTGTACTTATTGAGAGCATAGTCAAGGGATCCAAAAGCTTCAACAACCAATAAGTACACTTTTAATGAACAGGCCAAAAAGTTTTATTACATTAATTTATTAATTTGTTATAGATTGATTGATAAGTTCATATTTAATAATTTTTTTTCAGAAATTTTCAATTTTTTTACATACTTTCTAAATTATCCTCCAGCACATTACATTATCAACTTTTACTCTCTCTTTCACAACTATGAATAAATCTCATTATAAGAGAAATTCTTATATTCAAGTGCAACTATTTTTTTTTTTTTTGCTAAAAAAAAAGCCTCATTGTCTTTCAATTTTCCTTAACGTGTATATATAACATTAACTGTGAGGGTTCTACCTAACTAAAATTTAGAGGCAAGGGCAATAAATAAAATAAAATATTTGTAGTTCAGTTTTATTGTACCAATAAAAACGCTCTGTAAATTACCTGATATAAATAAATGGAATGCAACATATTCTTTGTATATCAATTTTATAATTTTTATTGGGAAAAATAATTAAAAATGTAAGTTATAAAAAGTTGTAAGAACAAAAAGTTGAAGTGAAATATCATAAAAAGGGGAAAAAAATGCAGAGCAAGTTCGATTTGTTGAAAGATTTCTTATTGTTTTTAGATAATAAAAAGACCAAATTATATATATATTGTGGGATGTTATTAGATTTTTTCAATCTTAATTAAAAGCTAGTTGAAAGAGTAGATATTTCCTCACATTTAAGATGAGCAAGTTCACAATTACCGTACACTAAAGAATAGAAGAAAGTAAAAAACTGAATAATATGATAATAGCGACCAAAAACCTGCAAACAACATAAATAATAGTTTGTTTTAGCGATCAACATAAGTAGTTTATCATAGCATAATTCTAAAAATACGAAAAATAATAATAGAAACAAAGCATAAAGTCTTAATTTTGGTGGTTTTACAAACACGAATTATAAAAGGATTAAAAACTAGATTTTGATCTTAAAAAATGACAACAGATGGCCTTTGGTGATCTAACATGCTGTAAATCTTTTAATAAGTTTTTCGAATTGATATAATTTATGTCAATTAGATATCCTCGTACAAATTATACTAATTTAAAAAACTATGTTTGTTTTTTCAAATTGTTTTTTTTTTTAAGATTTTTATTTATCAATCTGATTTATAAACTCATTGGCTAAATATTTCACGTCACCAACATAATGTGATGCAAGTACACATTTATAAAAACGTGTTTGGGTTGAAAAAACATAAATTGGCAGACACATTTTCAAAAACATTTTTAGACGAAATCTAAAGGCATTGCAAATGCAAATATTTTCAAATAATGCCTATGATTTTACAAATTTACAATCGGAACTTAAATGCCCAAGTGTGACATTGCATTGGATAAACACAAAAGTGGGTCCATTGATGAGATTTTTTAATCATTAAAAAAAAAACACAGAGATATTCTTTTATTTAACGAGTACAAATTAACAATATCCATTTAAAAGAAGAAAACAAAAGGAAAAAGCAACACCACAATAATGTCTCAGTTTCCAAAAGACTGTCCTACGAGAGCGATGGGCTGAACAAATATTGATGTCAAACGATCCTTGGTTTCACCATCTTGAATAGCATATCCATCTCCATACTGATAAAAGAACAGGGCAGACCTTCCAAGGTTGATTGGAATGTCCATGAAAGTTTGAGAGAAGGGATATTCTGCAAATCTCTCTCTATTTATTTTTTTCCATGTCTCATTTATCAAATATCCCATGTGCTCACGAGCTTCTTCTTCTGTTGCCCCAGTTTCATGCATGTAACATTGAATTGATTTTGGAACATCCCCTCTTGCTATCTCATCCTGAAATAATGAAATTACAGCAAATTATTTTTAAAAAAATAAAAATCATGACTGATTTTCATTAAAGATGGGATAAGAGAGAGAAAAAATCATCATACCGAAGATGTTCCTAGATCATTTGCAAGACGAAAAATCAATGACGAGTAACGAATTATATCTGGATATTCCATAATGCATTTCGAAGCTTCCTCGGTTATTGGATTTGTGATGAAAAAGAAAGCATGTCCTAAGACCAATGGTGTAGAGATAGACATCCATGCATTACCAAGGTATTCTTTCAGAGTTGGTTTATATCCAGCATGGTACCACCTTGCCTCTTGTAAATAAGCTCGACATAAATCTCCCCACTGTACATTTATAACTTCATACCATCAAAAACTGATGACATTGTTTTTTTTTTTTTTTTGATTTTCATATTATAGTATAGTGAAGTATTTTTGGATTAGTGTTTGCATCAACTGAGACTAAGTCCTTATTCTCAAGTTAAATCAATGTCAAAAAACACCTAACTTTATATCGATTTTAGGTTTAGTATCAGTTAAAAGAAAAGAAAAAGCTTTCTAAAAGTTAGAATCGAACTCATAATCCAATAAATTAGAAACATTTTTCTTATCATTTTACTTATAATTTTTGGTGGTAGGCGATGATATTGTTACATGAAATAATAAAAAATAAAATATTTTTTTTATTCAGTTGAATAAAGAATGGGAATTGTAATCAGTTTTGAAATTATATTGAATGACATACCATTTTCTTCAAAGAAGGAACAACATTAATTTTTTGTTCCTTGAGAATCTTGTACGCCATTTCGTTAGCAGTGTTGTAGAGAGCAAAGAATGTAATTTTCATGAAGTGTGGAAGCGGCTCAATTGCATTGATATCCCACCTGAAATAAAAGATCAATAATTTGTAGCATATTTTTGAGTTCTATATCAATATTTAAACTTAAATATATCAACCAACTTTTTTTTTACTTAGGACGAAAGTGAAGAATTTTCAAAGAAAATAAAACTGTCTCATAATTTTCAAGGAGAGAAAGGGAAAATTTCATTCTTATTGAATTTACATATATTGAGAAAATGCCTTTTAAGGGAAAAATTCTGATTAATCAAGAAATATTAAATGTGTAGAGATCAAACTAATCTATATATATATATAAGAACCAACTTGGATATATAATTAAATGATGGGGGGCACACACTTTTAAGGATTCACAATCAGACTAAAATAAACAATTAATTATTTACTTTGGTCCTTTTTTGACCAGGTTCCAATCAGACTAAACCCTAGAGTTTCCATATGATAATTTGTGTTAATTATAATGTAATTATTTAATTAGAACCAAATAATCCTATTAAGTACCTGTCAATAACATCTGTGAACAACTCGAGCTCATCAATGGTACCATAGACATCATAAGCATCATCTAATGCAGTAATTAGGGCATTAACCCTTGTCTCCATTTTCCTGTAATATCCAAACTGAGGCTCACATAACTCTCCCACTGTCCATAAAGCATTCTCCATCATTCTGTCCCTGCTATAAAACAACTGGTTACCCAGATCTATTTCCTTCCACCACCTGAACATATAAGAATTAATGAAGACCATAAGTTAAAACTTTTGATCATAGGGAAATTGTGTATTGTTCCATTAATATTTTGAATTTTGATTAAAAAAAATTAAATTTTATTTGATACTATTTTTACAAATCGATTTAAGTTAAATTTTGAATTTTGAATAAAAAAAGTTACAAATATGTTTTTGTTTGAAATAACTTTTAAACGGATAAAAAGTTTTTTTTTCCTACTTCTGAGATAAAACTCTACAAAGATAATCAAAATTTATTATTTATTATTTTATTTTTAGCTTAATAATTGAAACTCATATCTGTCCATTCCTCAAAGAAATTGTTTGTAACCGGATAATAAAGTTATTTTTTCTACTTCCGAGACAAAAATCTACCAAGATAATCAAAAGTTATTATTATTTTTAATTTTTAGCTTAATAATTGAAACTCATATATCTCCATTCCTCAAAGAATTGTTTTTAATTTTTTAATATTTTTTTGGTCCAGCACAATAGAAAGTTACATAATTTTTATAATCATGTCAAATGCATTTCATTAAATATGGAGAAACTATCCAATTGTGCCATCTTTTTTAGGCGGAAACGTACCTTTTTTAAAAATTTATTTATGATAAAAAAATTCGATTGAAAACTAAAACAATATTTATAAACGTTAAAAATGTAATAAAAAATATATAGAAATTTATACTATTATATAAACACAAATTTACCTTTTTATCTTAGTTTTGACACGATTAATTTGTTTTTGACTTGATTAAAAAGATGAATATAGTTTCTGCTATGTAAAAGTCATGGAGAAAAACATACCATGGGCCAAAAAACCAAAAATGATAAATAAATAAAATAAATAATAATCCTAGAACCCTACTAAGCATCTTTTTACCTTGATGCATCTTTTATATCTTCCTGGTGTTTTGCTTGCACCATATTGTAATCCAATTTAGCAAAATCAAGAAGGATAGGCTTGAAGTCCAATCTCCTCTCATATGCATCTATGAACCATTTGGCCTCCATCCTTTTCATCCTCCAGTGCAGTGGAAGCTCCAAAGCATGATTCGCTAATATTGAAAGATATTGATCTTTGTTCAGCATGCCGTGTTTTTTGAGATGTTTTGCTGCAAAATCTCTTGCTTCCTCTAAGATACTCTCACCTTCAACCAAAAGATACGAGGCTTCATACAAATACAGCATTCCCTTGATATCATTACAAAGACATGCCTTGAAGTTCCCTTGGTCATCCTTGAAACTATTGAAAACCTCTTCAGAAAAATAACCACAAACATGTTAGTAATGGTTTGAGCTAGGAATTTACATGCATGGATCTATGGGAGAAATTATTACATGAACTTCAGCCATTGGACCAAACTAATGGTACTATTTTCTCTAGTAATTCATTTTTATTGAAAGAAAGAAAGACAGGACAACCTTGAGGTACATTATACCCATGCTGTCTGAGGAGTCTAAATTCAAGAGCATTAGCATACAGATTATCCTCTTTGATCATCTTGGTATCATCTCTATGATTATCATTGTAAATGTTCTTCGTTATACTCGATATTTCTTCCTCAAAATGATAAGCTATCCCTAGTCTTTGCAAGGTATCAATTAGATCGAGTTGATCTAAAGGATTCAATGCTTCCTCAAGCATCAACCTCGCATCTTCCTTCAACTTGTTGGCTTGTCTTGTAAATGAGTGTCCCTGCAGAAATGCTAAACTTTGTTAGCTTCACACTTCTGACACAACTAAGGACAGATTGCATGGAAAGAAATAAATGTACGTAATGCAAGTGTACCACATATTCACTTGACAATGACTGAATAAAATTGAAGTCCCAAATGGGAGTTTGAAAATTTGCAGACCGTCTGACGATCGCTTTATCAGTATTACTTGTGGCGGCAACCATGCATCGAACTTGGCAAGAAGAATATGCATTGCTTGAAAATCCTAGTAAGGTGCGACTGCTTGTAGAAGGGAGTTTGGTGAAAGTAAGAATAGCAGATGAAGCAAGCTGGGTAGCAGCCATTGTTAATAATAATATTACTTTCCAAGGTAGTTACTCTGAAGTTTTGAGTTGAGAATTGTGGACATTAACTAGCTATATATGCCTTTATATATACATAGAGATAGATTTTTTTTTTTTCCATTTTTAAACTGGCATAAACAGATTCGTTCACATTATTAACATTATCATATCATATTAAAAAAAAAAATTACTATCAAAACCCCATAAAAAAATCTTTTATCTAAAAAACCTATCAATTTATTTTTAAATATCTAAAATCCAAAACAATATATTTTTTTCTTACCAAAATATTTAATAATTAACCTCCAATTTAACACCAGTTAACTTTTGATAAGAAAAATATTGTTTTAGATTTGAAAATTTTAAATATAAATTGATTGGATTTTTTGACGGAAGATTTTTTTAAATAGTTTTTGATAATTATTTAATAACAATTTTATTTTATAGTTTTTTATGAGTTGGATATCATCTTTTTTATCATGATCAAGTGATGATTACTAAAAAAATTTGATTCTTTAACTCCAACACACTAATCTTCGGCTATTATTATTTTTATTTATCTAAGAAAACAATTTATGTTTGTATTTTTATTTCTTTCAGTCTACCGTTTCTTTCATCAATTAAAAAATTATTTTTACTGTCTAGTAGTTATAGAAGCGGATACAATTTGACTAATTAATATTAATAAAATGAGACTCATGTCATTCTTTTTATAATTTAATAAAAAAATATCATACAAATAAGAAAATAAAAAAATATGTATTATGAATATGAACATTAATAATCTTGTCAATCTTAATATCTTATTAAAAAAACATCAATAGTAATTTTGAATTACTAAAAAACCCTAAAAAAAAAAAATCTGTATGAAAAACCCACCAATTCATATTTAGCTACATTATAAATTTGATCATTTTAAAACAATATTCTAAGTAGCGAAGACACATCATTGCCGTGATTAACGAAAGCCAGCCGGTAGGGCCATATCAGCAGAAAGTGGGAAGGAAAATGAAGGCAATAATGCATGAGATGACAACCCTGAAATTGAATTATTGAATTATTATATATATATGGCTCTTTCTACGATGTTATTGCGCTATTTCCATACTGTTACTACTATTATCAATAATGTGATATGTGACATTTAATTTATTAAAAAATTGCTCTGAATTATTGGTTAGGTATATAAAAGCAAAATTATTTTTTTAGGATTAAAGTTATAAATACAACAAGAAAAAAACAAATGAAGACAGGTTAGTTAAAAATAAATAATAAAAAAATAAGACATCAACAAAAAATATCAATATACTAACATTGATTGAAATTAATCAACAAATAGATCGTATTATCTTAAATTCATTAAAATAAATTAATTTTTTAATACTAACTATAGGTGTGTTTATTTTACAGAAAATATTTTCCTAAAAATAATTATTTTCTTTTAAAATGTTTTCTTGTAAAATGTAGTTATTTTTTATTTATTTTTTTTTATACGTTAAGAAAAACATTTTTCTATAAATCTAAAATAGTTATTTTTTATTCATAGTTATAGGGTGGTGTTAACGAGACAACAGAGATAAGGTTTGTTTGTCTGTTTATTAAATCTTTTTGTTGATTTCATTATAAAGTATTTGTCAAAATGTCTATAAGAGAAAATGTTTAGAACTCTTTGGGTGTTTATGTACGATGTGTAATTGTTTTCTACTTCGAGTGGTGCTGAATTTAGGTTTGGTTGTATGGAGAAGATTATCCAGCTTCTGAATCAAATCTCTCATCAAATGAATGGAGTACTGCCAACCCATCAAAGTCGTGGCTTCTAAACTGGCCGATCAACGAGTGATTCGTTGAGAAATGATCGTCTTCTTGTTTGCACATAAAAAATTAGGGGCTTGAGAATAGATAGTAGTAATGATCAGTTTAGAGAGAATAAACTTCTTCTTCAATAAAATTTGTATACTAATCATGTTTTGTGTTATGTCTTCTTCAACGTAAAAGAAAAAAAAATTGACTAATGATTATTTATTTATTTTTAATTTTCTTCATGTGGATTATTATTTCTGATCAGTCATGCCATGTGGCATTTTTTTTTCCATCTATCATTTTCAATCAGAAAAATGATCGAAAAACAATCAGAGCAGTCACATTAAAAAAAATTAAAAAATACAAAAAAGAGTTGAATAAAAAAAATACAAGAGCCATATTAAAAAATTTATTTAATTACATCAAATTAGAGTTGAATTTGGGTTAAGATACAATCCATTTACAGTCCCAAGTTTAATAGATGAACAAAACTAAAATGTTATTATTCTTGTCCAATATGCTAGGCGGCTTAAAATCCTCAGAATTCTAGAGTTTCATGGTATTGCCATTAACTTTTTTTTTTTTTTTTACTGTTGGATTATGAACCTAGCAAAAAGAAAAAAAAAAAATATATATATATATATATATATCAATTTAAGAACTTATTAGACATATAAAGACTAGATTTAACCAAACAATCAATTATTTTAAGGTACAGGCAAAGCAATAGATTAGCATGACATTAAAAATAACACACAGAAACTTTCACTATCTACCATATGAAGGTTTATGTAGCCAAAACATAAAAATAGCAGAGTCAGACTTTATAATCCAATTGACTTGGAGAGCTACAGGCAAAGCAACACTGATTTCTAGAATTTTTTGAATAGCCAGCGCCTCCATTTCTTAGTTATCTTTCAAGACACTGATTTCTATATCAAAAATCCCTGGCTTGCCCAAAATAAAACCATCCACATTCCATTTGAAGGAGCCAATTAGTGGATTAATCCAACTAGCTGCAACTCTTGTTTTGATCAGATTTGACCAAATCTGAACACCCTCATAGCTTCAAAATAAATCACTTCATAGATAGATAAAATGATCATCGACATACTGAATCCAATATGCAACTTTGTGATCAATGAGAAGAAGATGTTGTTCCAATTTGGTATAGAATTATTGAACAATTCGTAAAAATAGATTGAATTTTTTCCAACATGAAAGTGATGTGAAAGTAAAACAAATGTGAAAGTGATGTAAACTCCCCACCTAAAAGGGCACCCAGATTACAAAATAATAAAAAAAACAATTCGTAATCAGAAACACAGTAAAAGGAATTGCTGAAATCACCTCAGATGTACCTTTCCCTTCTTTCACACATATCATGACTTCCATGCATGGACCTTACTGAGAGGGATATTCGAAGCATTACTCTACCATTTAAAACCAGATATTGTCTTCTTTGATTTCACCTACTGGATGCCAAGACTGGTCGCCGCTTAGGTATTAAGTCCATTTACGTACTACTGTATTGTCAGCTCAGTAACAACTGGATATATTATGTCTCCAGCAAGGTATCTTGGTGCATGGAAACAGTTTGACTGAAACGGACCTTGTGCAGCCACCATTCGGCTTCCCAAACTCCCGGATCAAACCTGATGCTCATGAGGCACGAAACTATGTTTCAAGAAGGGTTATGAGGTTTGGCAGTGATGTTTTATTCTGTTATCGCATATATATTGGAATGAGTCAATCTGATGCAATTGGAATCATTCCAAGATTAAAAACAATTACAAAACTTTTTTTTGTCTGCCATTACTGAAAGAACCCTAGTTCTGACATATTTCTGCCATAATGTTGTGGAAGCAGCCAAACATAGCCCCATCATCTAAGGACTCGAGACCAAAGTTTTCAAACTACATTGCAATGCAACACTATATGATTTATAGATTCATTGCAGCACTTACAGAAGGGGCACAAATTTTAAGAAGGATTTATGATTCTTCTTCCAGCTAAGAAATCTCAAGCAAAATGTGATATTTTTTTGGTGAAAAATATTGAAAAATTGATTATAAAATATGAAAATTTTGAAAAAATAATATTAAATTAAGGATGATCAATATTAGTTAATAAATTAAATCTTGAGTTAAAAAACTAATTAATTTATTTTAAAAAAATAAAAAACTAATTTATAATTTACTTGAACAAAATGGTATAAAAGTGCAAGCCATTACAAAAACAGAAGGGAAATTGCGCTGGTCATATGTAATGAATAATCTTATATTTTTTTAGTGAAATGATAAATTATTATTAGGCTGGATTGGTGGTTAAAATAGAAGGATGATACGACAATATATACACACGTGTGTGTGTTTGTCATCTATCTATTTGTGTTGTTAAAGACAGAGGAAATATGAAATTCAATTTATTGGAGTTGAGATTTGAAAATTACGTACAGAGAAAGAAAATAATGAAAATCATCCGTCCTAATTAAGAAAATTAGAAATTACATCTAGTAGTAAAAGGATGACTTGTCATTTTATTTATCAAACTAATCGAAGACTCAATCCTTTATTTTTCATCTTTATTTTTTAATTTTAATTTTATAGTATCATTGTTGGATGTTTAAAAGTATTTTTTAAAAATTATATAAAGATGTAAAAATCATATATATATATATATATATATATATATATTTGAATTTTTTTTTAAGAGCACTTTAGCAAAATCATTGTGGACGGCATTACCAAACAAACAAATATATCATCAAAGAGACACGTTTTATTGCAAACCAAATAAAAAAAAAAAACTTTATGTCTCCATCGTGCCATTTTATGAGATTTCCTGCTGTGGTGGGGCACAAGCTGCATGATTTTGAACATCATATTAGGATCCCCACTTTCTATGAGCTCGAATAAACCTATGAAATTTCAAAATACAAATGAAAATTTCGGAACCCACGGATAGAAAATGCCAATAACCCTAATATGCAAATATAGAATGCTTCATCTCAAACCCCATGCTTTTAAGATTTAAGGATCCAAACTATCACAGTAGAATAATGTTCCTTTCTGAATTCTTGGATACTGCCTTGTCCAGTAAATACAAATTTTAAGAGTCTTTGGATACTACTTTTTAGCCCCTAGAGATTGGTAAATATTTTACATTGATTTCTATATTGTAAAAGTTTTCAATGTCAGCCCTTATATTTATGATAGTTCAACTTATTTGAATAGTTGACCAATGTTAGGAAACAAATTAAAAAAAAAAAAAGGACAATGAACAATCACGCAATACAAGATTTAAATAATTCGACAAATTATGAGTTTTTATTAGGATTTTTTAATTATAAATTATAAATACAAAAAATATTATCTTTATTTATGATGTAAACGACTAGATTTATTAAAATTCTAATAGACTTATACATTTGGCCCAATATGTTTGACCTAATATACTGATTTAACATAATGAGATCTTCTTACTGAATTTGCATAGCACATTAAACTATTGGCCATATTCACATAAGTTTTTAGAACCTAACAATCATATCAGACCTAATAAAATGTCTATTTTTTACTCTTTTCCTTCGGTGTTAACGTTTCTCTGTCATATTTCTTCATAAATTTATTCAATAGTCATGCATTTATCACTAATGTTGTAAATGAGATGGTAAGCGGAGAGTTCGAGACACCTCATGTCATAAATTCATAGATTAACTCTTTATATATTGCTTTACATTTAGTTAGTATCTACAAGCCAACTAAGGCCTTTTTTTGGTGCTCCAATTAAAGATAATTTTTGTAGATTAAATCAGGAGATTCATAAGCATTTGTTATTCCTGTTTTGGTCAGGAATTTCACTTTTTGACTAAATAGTTTATTTGTTTTTACTTTCATAACTCAAAATGCATTAAAAAAGGGCTGTGCTTGAGAAACTTCGGTAGATATGCTGATCCCGATCCGTTTTGTCACATGACAGGGATACCATAAAGCTGGAAAGAGCATGTGCCTTTTTTTCTGTTCTTGGTTGGCCTTTTTCTGTTCTTAGAAAAAGAAAAGAATTTGACAAAAACAATTGATGAGAATCGGTTGTCACCACTTCACTATGCTGTCTATTTCCATTCGCATAATCATTCGATGGCGATGGTGCCACTACTAATAGAATTTGATGTGTCCATAGTCTACATTGCTGACAAAAACAAGCACAGAACAGCTCTGCACGTAGCAGCCATTAAAAGCCAAGTAGACATGGTGAAAGAGATTGCTTCTCGTTGTCCAGATTGTTGTGAACAATTTGATGGCAAATGTTGGAATGCTCTTCACTATGCTGCGGCCAGTAAAATTAAACTACGACTACGAGCATTCAAAGAGTCTCTAGAAATACCTGAACTTGCCAAGCTTATAATTGAAAAGGATGAGAACGGAAACCCACCCTTGCTTCTGCTTGCTGCCATCGATCAGCAGCAGCCGTTTTTTGGAGAATCTCCCGCTTGATTGTGGAAGTAAAAGCGACATATGTAGCCTTGACAACCAAAATTTAAGCATTAAGCAGATATCAGATATAATTTTCTAATGCCTGAACTTGCCTTTACTATTTGTTTGTTCATATAAGCCATCCTTTTTTTTTTTAATTATTTAAGGGACTATATTGTCAAATAAGTTCAATAACTTAATGATATATAAAATGCTATTAGTTTGTTCCATAATCTCTAAATAATGTTCGAAATAACTACTTAAAAATTGTATGTTTGTTCAAATTAATGCCTTGCTAAAACTTAAATATTGCAAATCAGGTGCCATTATAATTATAATGATCATGCAAATCACCCTGGCTTTTTGCAGAAATATTATCTTAGACTCAATAAAAGCTGTTAGAAATGAACAAGTTGGACCGTTTATGCGCTTAATGAAGGAAAATAAGTGGAAGGAGATTTCTTCCATTATTTACAGAGGAAAGGACGCTCGTTTAGTAGCAGCGACACTCATAGCAACGGTCACATTCGCTGCTGCATTCACCGTATCGGGTGGTTACAAGGGTGAACAAGGCCCTAATGAAGGTACAGCAATTCTAATAAAAAATGCAGCTTTTTCCGTATTTACTATCTCAGATGCAATATCTCTCACAATGATTGCCATGGGGACAATGGTTCTCGCATTCATCACGGGTACTTTCGCAGTGCTAGCACCTTCTTTAGTGCTTGCCACGACCACCTGTTTGATTGGCTTGTGCTTCTTCGTCATTGGGTTTATGTTGCTTAAGAAGACAATAGAGATAAAGGAAGATCCTTGCCATCACTTTGATTAGTACATTTTAGAGAATTGCCAATAATCCTTTAGAGATGTATCCAAGACAATCATGTTACATGGTTTGAAATTTGATGCTTTCAATTTATTGATGACTCAGAGAATGAAAGCATAATACTGTCGAGAAAAGTCATATAAACTTTTGTTTTATTTTTTGTATAAGGATAAAATATAGTAGGAATTCCTATATCGATCAGGCACAAACAACTCCTATGAAAGAGTTTATAGTCTAATAGTAGTGATATTTTACAATAAGAAATTATAAGTTCAAATTCTAATAGATTAATACTGCTACAAGCCTTAGATGTATATATTTAAAAAAAAAAAAAGCACAAACAACTCCCGAATAAAATTGAGATTAAAATATTAATCATTCTCTTAAATGGAATTATATATGTTTACATCTATTTTTTCTTTTTAATACCATATGCCAAACCTCCTTATATTATTGGTCAAAAAATGCAAATAACATGAGAGTTTTTAGCCCAAATTTGATGAAAATCTAACCCCATTTAATATAAGAACTTATTTTTACTTTCAATTTTATTTAGAAACTGTTTATTAAAGATTGTTATCATATAGTTACCCTTTTATAATGTACACATTGATTTTGAACTCTCTTAAAGTAGTTGGAAGGCCCATTTATCTTATTTATCTTATTGCTGCATTTCCAAGTATTTTATTGTTAAGTATGATTATGATTTTTTTCCGACTGATCTGTTTATTCAATAAATAAATAACTTGGTCTTGACAGTGATAGCATAAAGCTGGAAAGATCATGCCTTTTTTCTGTTCTTGGTTGGACTTTTCCCTTTCTAGGCTTGAAGGTTCGAATTATTGTCTTGGTGGAATGTATCTTCTGGGCAACAAATTCTGTGCAGGACTGGATCTAAATTGAAGTGCGGCCTGTAAAATAGAGCGCATTTGACAAACACGGCTTCATTTTAGAGCTTTAAAAGAGTTTGACAAAATTTTAAAAACTGTCTTTGCTTTTGGATTTTAAACTACATTATAACATAAAATCATTTTGACATGACACATTCAATATAATTCAGCTCCCTCGTCTTCCTCAAGGTCGATTTTTCTGAGAGAGAAAGACTGAGAGAAAGAGGGAAAAGAGAGAAAGGCAAAGCCAGAAAGAAAGAGCTTAGAGAGAAAGAAAAGAAAAACAAGTAAAGGAGAAAATTTCATCCAAGCATCCCAATAAGTTTGAAAACGACCGAATCTAAGAACTCCGAGCTTGTTAACCATCTTTGAACTTTAATAAGTATCCCTTGCTCTTTTTACTTTATTCCTTATCAATCTTGGTAAGCAAAAATGCATTTGGATATTCATGGATGCTAATGAATCTCATAATTTACCTAAACCCTAATAAATATGATTACTAGTTGTGTTTTGTAAGTATGGTATAGCTCTAGATGTTTTTATTTTTTGATTTTTTATTTTATTTTCTGAATTTTTTTTCATGAACATCATCTATAGGTCTCCAACTCGTGTGTGAAATTTTAGATCTTTATGACATAAGGTTTCTATCCATTTAGATCATCTTGTATTACGAGTATTGATTTTTCAAGCTAAAACTTCCATATTTTACATGCTTGATATAGTATTCAATGATTTTGTTTTCTCGTTTTTTATGATAACACCATCTACTAGTCTCTTATATATGTGTAAAATTTCAAATCTTTATGGTATAGGATGGTTGTCCATTTAAATTACTTTTTTGGATATTATAGTATCGATTTTTCAACTTCAAGTTGATTGTTGTTGTGTGTTACATGTTTGGTACATCCCTCAATACTTTTATTTTTTGATCATTTTTATATGAACACTACCTCCAAATGATTGCTAATTGTGTTTTGCACGTATTGTATAGCTCCGGATGTTTTTATTTTTTGAATTATTTTTCATGAACATCATCTATATATCTCCAACTCATGTGTTAAATTTCAGATCTTTATGAAATAAGGTTTACGTCCATTTAAATCATCTTGTATTGTAGTATCGATTTTTCAAGCAAAAAATAGCTACTTCTATATTTTACATGCCCGATATAGTATTAAATGATTTTGTTTTCTGATTTTTTATGATAACACCATCTACTAGTCTCTTATTTATGTGTGAAATTTTAGATCTTTATGATATAGGATGGTTGTCCATTTAAATTACTTTTTTGGATATTTTAGCATTGATTTTTCAACTTCAAGTTGATTGTTGTTGTGCGTTACATGTTTGGTACATTCCTTGATACTTTTACTTTTTGATTATTTTTATATGAACACTATCTATATGTCTTTCATCCATATGTGAAATTTCAAATTTTTATGACATAGGTTGTCCATCCTTGTAAGTCATTTTGTTTTTTATAGCAACAATGATTCCTCAATTTAGAAATAGTTTTTGTCATGTTTTGTATGTTTGAGGCGATCTATGTATTTTTATCTCTTGCTTTTTTTGTATGAATATCTTCTATTTGTCACTAACCTTTATGTGAAATTTCATATATATTTTTTTTGACATAGGATGGTTGTCCATTTAAATCATTTTTTCGGTTAAGACAGTAGTAATTTGTCAAACTGAAATTGATTATTGTTGGTATTTTATATGTTTGACATGCCCTTAGATGTTTTTATATCTTAATTTTTTCATATGAGTATCTTTTACCTATCGTTGAGTCACGTATAAAATTTTATAATTTTAAGATGTATTTTGACATTTTATTTGAATTTATTTTAATTACTCGTTGTGCTTTATTGTGTAGGATATGAAATTATCGAGTTTCCTATATTCTAGGGACCGATGACGATTTCATGTAGAATTTTGGTTACGATTAATAATTTTTTTCTTATTTTATTTAATAAAGAAAATCAAGTCTACCTAACTAGTCTCCTATTTAATAGGGACGATAGTATCGACACCTCAATTAAAAAAAAAAGAGAGAAAGAGAAACAAAAAAGAAATTAGCAAATGTAAATACAAGTCAAACTTTAAATATCATTATGTATTTAGGTTTTTCTTTGATATGTCGATTATTTTAAGGACTTAAACTAGATTCGATGTTGAATTGACAAGACTCCAATGTTGGGGTTCGACGATTAATTCAATATGATGTCACAATTGAAAAAAAAAAGAAGCAATTTGACTTAGAAAAATAAACAAGCTTAAAGTAATTTGGTAAAATGTAATTATTAAGAGATATACTTTTAGGATTAAACTAGACATGGTACTTGTCTTTGAAAATAGTGTCGTTGGGTGATCGTTATATTCCTAAAGGTATAAAACCAATTTCTTATCCTAAAATTTCTATATTTAGTGTCCTTTTTTATGTTCTTTGTCATAACCAAAATTTCGAGCTTCTTTTATTATTATTATTATTATTATATATAGTTGATTATTTGTTCTCTTTGATTTCATTTTAATTTTTTCATTTTCTTATCTTAATCGGCATTGTTATTTTATTTATTTCATTTTACTTAGAAATTTGTAAAAAAAAATACAAAAAAATACAAAAAATATTTGAATTAAACATTTAGGGATGCAATTGCATTAAATTCAAAATAATTACGAGTAATTGGGGATACAATCGAATCATTTGAAGTTCGAAGTTAGATTACATTGGACAAGGACCAAGTTGACCTAATAATAATTTACGAGGATCAAATGAAAAAATTATAAAAAATCAAAAGAAGAAAAAATTACAAAGTTTGCAAAGGAATGGGCGACCAGTTGCCCACTCTTGCCCGAACTAGTTTCGGGCTCTTGGTTATCCTACTTTCCTTGGAACCGGCTTTGGTTTTCCAGTTATTCTAATTCTCTTCCCTTGGGAACCAGTTTGGTTCTCGGTTTCGGCTCCCAATTTCCGGCAGTAACCATTATTCCTCAACTTGCAGCTGCCCAACTCCTTCTAAGTCCACAATCTCGACACCCCCTCGATCATGACCGCCCTACGGCCCCCAATCTCACCCTCTCGCCAAGCCATTTTGTCAACCCCAACTTGTCCCCGCATCGCAATCTCCTATCCGATCAACAAAATCAAGGTAGCCACCCTATCGTCGTAAATCCCAGCGAGCTTCCTCATCACCCAAATCGGTCTCCATCACCTTACTGCCGCAACTCTTGCGAGCACCACCCTACTCGCCCTAGCCCACGGTTCCAAGCACAACCACCCTACGCAGGACATAAAACCAATCTCATCCAATCCCCACTTGACAAACTCCGAGAAAATCCCCCACCATCATAATGGGGGAACCAACACGTAATTCATGGATATATATATATATAAAATTCACAAATAAAAACAAAAGAGGAGGCGGCTCGAAATCAAAGGAAAATAACCAAAAAAAAAAAAGAAGAAGAGGAAATCAGTAGCAAAAGAGAAAAAAAAAATCTAAAAAAAGCAAGAAAGAGACTAAAAATACCCTAATTGAAGTTGCAAGCCACATCCTTTTCCATCAATCCTTCTAGGTAATTCGGTCTTATTTCTCTTTAATTTCGGTTTTGACGAATTTGTGTTTGTGATTGGAAATGGTGGGTTTTTAAATTTGGGGTTGAAATTAAGTTTAAGAAGTATAAATTAAACCTAATTAGAGGTCATTGATAGTTTCAATTTGAGGTTAAAACCCCAAATTGAAGTCGAATTGAATTCAATTTAAACCTAGGGTTCTTGATCATTTTTGAACAAATTGATTTGGGGGTTTTACTAAAATCGGGTCCATTAAGGTGTGAATTAACTTGATTTCAAAGGAAATCAAGACAATTAGGCTTAATTGAAAGAAAAAAAAATAAGAAATTGAAAACCTAGGGTTTCGATCAAAGTTGGGGAAGAAATTTGAGAAATTGATTTGAGGGTTTTTGATTGAGCAAGGAAAAGAAGGAAAGGAAGGGAAAAAGAAAGAAAGAAAAGGGAGAAATCAAGCGGCCAAGGATGAACCTCCACTAGTTTGTCCATGGCGAGCAGGAACGTTAAAAAAAAAAAAAAGAAGAAAAGAGAGAATGGTAAAG